GATCTATTTGCACAATATTCTGCACAAGAATGTCTGCTATCAATATTTTTGATATCCAAGAAGTTGAAAAAAATGTTTTCGTATCTCAGGATCTCCAGGAAAGTGTCTTTAATATTTCGATTTTTCAAAGTATTGAAATATTCTGCACATAAATTGTTTATCCAACTGAGGAAATTAATTGTTCTTGAAAGCTTAATCATCTTGCTGATGGATCATCTCAAGAAAGAGATAGGAATTTTTTTTTTTAGTAGAGAATTTCTCTTCTGAACCCACTCGTTTCAGAGATATTTCCAATATATTACCACTCCACCACGGAATTTAATGATTTGTGGGCACGCACCGTGTCTCTTGATTCCTCATTCCTCCTGTATAATCGGCCTATAAAAATAGACGTCTCTCTATTTTGCAATTCGAGCTAACAGATCCTTGCTACCTGAAAAAATTCGACGATAACTCGAACGAGCATTTGATTTGAGAGCAAAACCCAATGAGATTATATCGTGCAACGGCTTTGAAATGATAAAATAACGAGAGCATCAACGTTCGACAGTAATTAAATCCAATATATTTCACGGATAACACCGAATGATATTGAGTATTAATATCACAGGCGACGAAAGAAACTACATCCTGTAAAATTTTGAATAATAGAAGATTTTTTGTGGGCAACTTGAGGGATAATTACTGCTCGTTACGAGTTAATGCCATCGATTTGTCATTTACGGAAGAGAAGCAACGCTACGACGCGCGGGTGATTGGTCCCACCATTCCGGGGACCGGAAGCTACTATAATAAATGTCGTCATTGAAGCCTCCGTTCTTGGTTGACCATTCCCAAATAATAAATGAAAGGATCAAATTCATCAATTCTGTAGTGAAGTGGCAGAAGGGAATTCTTCTTGCTGAATATTCCAGAAGGGAAAGCTGATAGCATCATCTTTATAAATACAAAGAGTAAAAAGTTGGAGAAAAATTAGCGAACGAGTCAAATAATCGTGGAGCGAACTCGATTTTCTGTACTTTTTCACTCTATATCGGGGAAAAAATGCGATACGAATAGTGAACTATTCTCCGTTGACCTGGAAAAATTTATTGAACGTGAGGATAATTTGTGCCGAAAATTTATGTCAGTGAGACTGGGACAAAATGAAATAGTTGTGAATTACTCCACGACCTCATCGAACCTTTCCATGTATTTCCTTTTCCAAAAAACAATAACATTTTCAACTCATTTCGTTTATTGTTTTTTTTCATTTTATTGGACATTTCGTTTATTGTTTATGAAACAGAAAATATTATGAGGAAATTAAGGCATGAATCAATTAACAAATGTAAACTGTAACACTTTTGCGCTAGCACACAGGCGCTGGGCTCATGTAAATATCCGCTGTATGTTATATTCTGGATAACAGTAGAACACATGCTAGCGAGATTTTTTGCGTAAAAAATATATGAAGGGGACATATTCAGTATCGAAAGAATGATCGTCATCAGTACTTGATCCGCAGATAAAAAACGTAGGGAAAAAATTCGATTCGAATGAAAATAAAAAACCGCGTAATCTAATCTGAATCGGTCATTTTTGAAGTGAAATGGAGCAAAAAAACTCGTCCAAATCGTGTGAGTGATGCCTTTTCCATATTATTTCATATTGCCTCGCGATTTCACTTTGCCCCGGTATCTCCTATAATTTTTCTGTAACGGAGAATGATTTTTTACCGAAAGCAATCGATAAAATTTTACTTTCATTCGTACCCATGACCTTCAGATGGGTGCAGAAGGATAATTTTTGTAATTTTAGTTGCGGTTTTTTACCGAACGAATCACAAAATCCTGCACAATCAGGGATTTATCCATTGAATAACATTTCGCTCCACGATTACCTTTCGTACAGTAAAAATTGCCACGATTTTCAAGGTAATTTTCATCCAACTTTTCTCTCCGTGTACCATTTTGTAGCTTCAATCCTGCGCTATGAAAAAAAGTATCACGAAAATCCAGCTATGACATTTAGATTCGGAGATATTAAACGAATAGCTTGTTTCACCACTTCACTAGTGAATTTCTCTCCACATTTTTTATAATTGTCTTGAAAACACTGGAATTGGGGGTTAAAAAAATTGTGTGGAATAAAGAGATGATTTCACGAGTGACGTTGTACGATTTTCCAGCTGTTTTATTGTCCTTCCTTTATTTTTATACTGTTCTTCGAATGCAAAATTCAGGAAGTGCTTTCGTGAACTGCTCTGTACTGAATTGAGTTGATAATAAAATTATCTTGGGAATAAAGGGTTTATTAATTTTTATCAGTTGCAAAAGAGGCCTCTTGACATTTTCATCTGAGATCAATGGTTTTTTGAGATAATTGCATAATTAACAGACATTTCACTTCAAACTCATGTTCTAAAAACGAATATATGAAGACTATTTTAGTTCTAAAAAACGGGAACAAAAGATTCCTCTATTTTTTCCGGAATTTCTACCAATCGAATACAGTAGAGTCTTCCTATGATTTGAGCGTCGGGGCTAAAAATTCTGCGTACTGAAGTGTTCTGGGACTCCCCACTCCTCCTTGGAGGGCGTGGCGTGAGAAGGGAGAAGCGGAGAAAGAGCAGAGTTACGGGTTACTCGAGATGATGACTGGGCTATTCAAATTCCTTGGCCATAGCCTAAAGCCCAAATGGAATATTCCAAATTTCGAGTCGGTTATTTTGGGCCAGTAGTTTAGTTGAAGAATGAGAATCATAGGGAGACTCTACTGTATATTTAATCTATACAATTCGCTGAATTATATTTCTCCTAAATTACGAGCCCTCAAAAACACTCGAGACGATACTCTCCAAATCTCTTTATTCCACGCAAAAAACCATGAATTCGTAGTAAAGTGGTAAAATTCGAATGTACGAGAAAATAGCCGATGTGTAGTAACACGCGTCGTGTGTGGTAAACGTCAAAATGACCGTTCATTTTCGGTCATTTTTTCCGCCTACCCCGAAAATCACCGATCATTTTGTCGCCTACTACGCACAACACGTGTTACACCCATCGGCTGTTTTTTTCTTCCGCTATTTTTGCCGCCTACCGTAACATTCGGAGAATCTAAAATCTCTCCAAAACTACACGTACAGAAATTCCTGATAAAACTCACCCTTCGATTCTAGTAATCGTATAGCGTATCGGCTTTGCAGGAATTTTCACCAAAACTCCAGTGAAAAATGCAATTCTAGTGAAAAATTACATTATTTCAGGTAAAAATTCCACAAAAACATTGCAGTTTTTGTTAAATTTCTGTTTAAAATTCTCCACAAAAAGCTCTGTAAGATTCTTCCCCTTCAAGATATTCACAAAATAATCTAGTGGAGTTGTAAAACGAGACTTCTTACCTTGCTGAGTAGAAAAGAGATCCGAAGGAAAAATCAAGCCCTCCTCAGCGCATTAAAAAAACCCTGAGCAAGAGTTGATTTCTCGCCATCATTTTTTTTCTTATGCAAAAAAAATGTTTCCATCTCTTTTAAGGATGTTTCTCCGAAGTAGCGAGCACTCAAAAAAATTTTGATTTTTTTGCGACTGATACAGAGGGTTATCCTTTTTATAAAAAATAAGAAAAAATTAGGGTTTAATTCTTTTTCTGATTAGAAAGACATTTTGGGGGAACGAAATCTACCAAAGTGTTCGAAAGACGCAATTCTCAGTCGATTAACTCATTTTTTGTTCACGCATACATAATATGTACACAAAAATAACTCAATGGGTTTTTTTTGGAAATGTCCGTCTTTTGAGTTTTGCTATTTTTTTTCTTAAAATTGTAAGAGGTGAAAAACTTGAAAACAGAAATGTTTAACCGCATCATAAATCATTGAAGTAGGTTTTTTCCGACTTTTCGCGTCATTGATTCGGAATATAATAAGAAAAATGATGGAAAAAATCTGAAAAAATTCCTTCTCCAATGATTTACTATGTTCTTTAATTTGAACAATTCAGATGTTTTACCTATAGAAATTTCGGGGAAGAAAATGAAAAAACTAAAAATTTTAGATTTCCAAAAAGCCTCATCTCTATATTATAAAAATCCAAATCCACTTCTGGTGATGAAAAATTGGTACTCGAAAATAAGACTCCACAATTAAGGGTCAAAAACCAAGGGTCAGAAACTAAGGCTCACCAGGGTTCAAAAAGGGTCACGATGGTTATAACGAGAGTCAGAATAAGGGTCATGAAGGTCAGATTAAAGGTCATAATAAGGGTCCAAATAAGGATCATGGGATTCATATGATTACCATACGGGGGTGGCAAGCAGAGCCAGCAGGAGGCGTAGCCCCCTACTTTTGTTATATTCATGCATATACTCTGCATGCGTAAACCAAAATTCAAGTCAACCGATTGAGGACTGGGTCATGAGGACCCCTTCAAAGATTCCATCACCAAAAAAACTCAAAAATTTTTATAGCTTCTTCATTTTAATTCATTTTTTTGCTGTCTTTGCCTAATTTTTCCTCATCTTTTTACATTAGCACTGAAGTACCAAACTCATCAACACAATAACCAAAAACCCCTGCACCGATAAACTGATTCATTCATTTCAACCAAGATTCGTTAACTATTAACGAATGGTAGAGTTGAATATGACCAAATAAATATTCGTTAATAGTTACCGAATGGTTCACTTGAAAGGTGAAAGTCGAGTCCAACAAGCCTCCTCAAATATCCATTTGTTAACTATTAACGAATGAACATTTGGTGAGCCCGAGTAGACCCTCGACTTCAACCAAATCCATTTGTTAAGAATGACTAATCCTTTCTATCTTTGTGCGTCTTCGAAATGTCCTGTAAGAAATATTGGTTTTATGTTCTCCAATCAGTCTAAAAAATAATTTCGGAAAAGGATAAACACCCTTAAACAGCCAGACCCTTCCCAACGAAGTAAACTCAACTCGTTTTACCCCCCCCCCCCCCCACTCGACCACTTCCCTACACCCCAAACCCCAAAGAGAAAAACCGGTCACCCAAGTCTCGAAGTACCGCTCGCAAACGGATGGAAGGCACGGGGTAGGATATCAAAAAAAGGGTCTGCGTCTTCTCGTAGATATGGCTCCTCGTAAAACACGTAAAAATGAACAATGACTGATAAACAATAGAATCCCCTGACTATCGATCATCCCCACCACTCCAGTCACTGGCAGCCCACGCTGGCAGAGGTGTTTCGTACTCCCATCCAGGGCCACAATAACGCCACGCATGCAGATACATAACGAGGTCCGATGGTTTTGGATCACGATATTTAACTTTGCACTCGTAGCAGTGAGGATCGACCGTGACTTTTTCGTTAGTGAAACTCGAGTCTGGCGGTTCACTCCCGGTTTGTGTGCCAACGGTGACCTTGAGGGCTGGTGGAAGTGGCTGTTGGGACTGTTCGTCGTCGGGTGAACACCCTGGGGTGGATGATGGAGAGCCATTGCTGTCCTTGTCACCGCTGGAATTCGAGACGCGATCCTCCATGTCCAGTTTCGGCTTGAAGAGGCTCATCTCGGAGTCGCCGTCCATCCCCAGCCAGTTCTCGGCGTTGTGGATGCCGATGAGGTCCTTGACGAGCTCCTCGTCGGTCTTGCCGATGTTGCCGCCTTTGCCCTTCTCCGGGCCGAAGACTGTGTGGTTGTACAGGGGATCGTTCACCACGGGGTAGCCCAGGTACTGCAGGTGCACACGGATCTGGTGCATCCTGCCGGTCTGCGGCTTGCAGAGGACCACGGAGGACTTGCCGCTGTAGGATAAACGCTTGAAACGAGTGATGCAGTCCTTCCCTTTGTCCGAGACCTTGCAGACGCCGATCTTGTAGGAGACCACTTCTATCGCTTCGGAACAGACCACCTCTTCCTCTGGGAAGGCCCCTTCCACGCGGCAGACGTACTGCTTGTGCACCTGCGGGAGACCATTGGGGTTAGAGCGGTGTGAGCGAGATTACTCGTGAAATTTCGAGGGGGAATTTCGAAGTTTTTACACGGAGAGAAATTCGGGGATTTGATGACACAAGAGGTTTGAAATTATCAGGTATTTGCCGATAGGTTCCTTACAAACGAATGGAGGAGCCAGGTTTTGCCAGGTGAACTCGTCAAGTTTTTGAGGAAAAACGTGACAAGTTCGTTTCTATGCAGGGAAGCTCAAGGGAAATACCTGATTAATTTTGAAGCTCGAATGGTATTCGGAAGAGAATTTTCTGGGACTGGATTTTAGCCAATCACAGCGCAGTATTCGAGGTCCACGATACTCGTTTCTTATCAAATTTTTTCGGGATTTTTTTCCATCCAAATTTCAGCCAATAGGATTGCACTATCGACTGTTATTTTATATAGTCAACACGGTATTCAACTGATAATTTTGATAATTCAACTGGTAATTTTTCACGTTGACTTCACACCTATGAAAATATTGATAATTCAACTGGTAATTTTTCACGTTGCCTTCATGTCTATGAAAAACAAAAGATTTACGGGACGATTGAACCCTTCGTTGGAACTGACAGATGGGATTTGTCTCATTGTGCAATCCTCTTGGCCGAAACTTGGATGGGAAAATTCCCTAGCGAATACTAATCGAGCTTCAAAATTAATCGAGTAATTCCCTCAAGGTTCCCTGCACACAAACGAATTCGTCAAGATTTTCAGGAAAAATCAATTTACGAATACGAAATCGTAAAGTACGTTTATGTAATGGTAGTTTACGGAAATTTTGAGCGTAATTTACGCTTCGACTGCAAGCATAAAATACGCTTCAGAAAGCGTAACAGATGACTTCTTAAACATAATTTACGTTTAGGTTTGTCTGTGTGTAATTGTTGGCGAGTGTGAAGGTTAATGTAATCATACTCGTCATATGATGTATCATACAATATTTTATGATACTGGTGATAAAAAGGCGGTTCTTTTTTTACTTTTATCATAAAATGTCACTGTGATAACCACCCATTTGAAAATAACATTTATTCGCATATTATCCTATAAATTTTCTCCGCTTGACAGCGAAAAGGAAATTAAACTACGAATTTGCCTCCAAAATGCAATAAATTCCTGGTTTTTACTTGATATTCAAGGCGAAATGCTTCGACAGAACAAAAAAGTAGAGATTGATAGTTTGTAACTCGTTAAATGTTGCAAAAAGTCTTCAATGTCGCATGATAATGAAAGACAATGTCTCATGCTAATGCAACGTCGAGTCGATGAATTCAATTATTTAAAAGTCGTAACGTTTGTCAACGAGTTTGACCCTTGTTTATACATATTACGAAACTGCCAGTCGAATCATTGTGAGGCGTGAAGTTGAACTTTATGAATATGCAATTAATTAAATTTCGGTAAACGTCACGTGCACTTTCAGTGGTGGATGGTAAATAACACGAGTGGATAGATGAAATTGTAGCTTATTAGTTTTAAGTGCATGCGGCTCCTCATTTTGGTATTTGCTCAGATTTTAGGGCTCACATGTGTGAGATACTCAGATTTCATGCGGAAACTCTTGTATAATCAGAGGAAAAACAATTTTTCTATTTGTCCAAAAAACGAGGATTTAAAATATCCAACTAATTATCATTGCTGATTGATAAAATAGAGGCCTGTTAAAATAGAGTTATTACTCAAGAGTTTCAACAATTCTTTTTGAGCGAAATAGAAAAAATCTGTCAAGAAAAATTGAAATTTTAATTATTAAAATTTATATTGAAAAATTAATTGTCATAAAAATTCTCTTTTCTTTCTTATAAGTTCGGGGAAGAAATAATCACTGCGGTATATGCAAGCGTTTAATAATCCATAATTTTTTATTTTAATTGAATTTTCGTCTGAACTAATATTGTTCCAGTTTCTGTGACTTCGTCGATAATCAATAATTAGTGAAGTATTAATTATTATCGTTGATTATTAAGTTAGTTCAGGGGTTCAATGGCTTATTTTTTAAAGAAATAAAAAAAATCTTTCAAAAAGGGGGGATATTTTGATTATTAAAATTTATGTTGAAAAATTCTATGTCATAAAAATTCTCTTTTCTTTGTTATGAGTTCAGAGACCAATAATGACGAGTGCGAGATATGCAAGCATTTAATAATCCATAATTTTCGATTTTAATTAAACTTCTGTCGGAACCAATATCACTCAATTTTCTGTGACTTAGTCGATAATCAATAATTAGTGAAGTATTAATTATCATTGATGATGATTAAATTAGTCCAAGGGTTCAAAAATAATTATTTTTAAAAAGAAATGAAAAAAATCGTTCAAGAAGAATTAAAATTGCAAATATTAAAATTAATGTTGAGGATTTTTCGTCATAGAAATTTTGTTTTCATTGCTATAGGTTTAGCAAAAAATAATTAGAAATGCAATATACGCAGGCAATTAATAAGGAATAATATTAAATTTTAATAAAATTGCAGTCTGAATTAATGAGCTTATAAAAAAAAATATTCTATTTTCTGTAACAAGTCAATAATCAATAATTAGTGAGGTACCTGTCTATTTCTGATTTGATGCTCCATCTGTCTAGCCTTCTTCGGTGTCCTACCGAACAATAAAATACCACTGGTCAACCTGTCCAGCCTGTGGATTGTCCTCAGATTCTTCAGATTGTACTCTTTAGCCAGAATAAAAACGACAGTATTGTGCCGATAACGACCGCACGGATGGACCTGTAATCAATCAAAAACACACTTCAATTCATCAATAAATCCATTGACCGGAATGGGGATATAAAGGTTGGGGGCTGGGGAAAAATCTGTCTTCAACACAACAATCAGTCATTCAGAACGAGTCGGGGATGAATGGGGGCTAATGAATAAAGCCGACAATTAGTCACGAGATTGGGATTTCATGGAGTTGTATGGTGAATAAGCAAGGATACAGGGTCAATGTTGGGTAGGGTTCGTTTGGAAAAACGAACAGCGCATTCAATTCAATCAAGTAGACTATTTAATTGGGGAAATTCGTTCATTATCTTTCTTTGAGAGAAAATAGAGCAGAATTTGTGTGAGTTGATAGGGAAATAATTTTGGAGGAAACGGTGTAAAGAAATTCAGCAAGTTTCGTTGGCGGAAATTTCAAGATTTTTCGACATTTTTAAAAATATAAATATGTTGTGTTATCTAGCGCTACGAAAGTAATGATTAAGGACTGATTGGCCTTGCGCTCATTAAATATTCATCGATTCATTGACAGAAGTATTTTAAATTTGATTGTTTGAAATTTTTATAGTGTAGAGAAATAAAGACAATGGGTTTTTGTCCTGGTGACGACCTCTGAGTCTGGGGTCGAAGCGTCAAGAAAATTGCACATCATCTGTCAATAATTTGATGGCTTTTAATTTAACGACCGCGAGGCGAACCAATCCTTAATCATTTTTTTTCAAATCTACTAATTCTGGAGATATTTGGAATAATCTGGACGTGTTTTTCCGAACATCTTATGGAACAAAATCTTTGACATTTTTTGATAGCTGGAGTCATTAAAAACCCCTCACTTCCCAGCCATTAACGGTCATTATTGCAAATTTACAGCCGAAAAATACAAAAAAAAAGGAAAAATGAGGAAGTTCAATTTCTCTTTAGTTGTAACTCTTTAACAACAGTTATGGAAGGAACTGACAGTTGTCTGTTTACTGTCACACGTATGAAAAAATCGTATATAAATTTTCTGTATGGATTGCGTATAGAAATTCTACAGGATTTTCGTATATGATATTCGGATATTTCTATACGGATATTTTTTATATAAATTATTTCTATACGATTTCTATGGGTTTGATCCTATACGACCCACTGACACATGTATAGACACATTTCGTACGGAGTTGCGACATTTCTCTGTGGTTTTCTCTTGCGCGTTTAGACATCTTTCGTATGAAAACAAAAATTTATGTAAAAATTTATGCATAGAAATAATTCGTATAGAAATATCCGAATATCATATACGGAAATCCTATAGAATTTCTATACGCAATCCGTATAGAAAATTTCTATACGATTTTTTCATACGTGCAAATTCCCTACTTTTAGTTTTTCTTTGGTATGCACTGAGAGAAAAATCTGAAGTTCGATTTACAATAAGAAAATAGTTGAGGCATTTTGGTGAAGGATACGATTTTTTTTTGTATACGGCACATAACATTATAGTAACTTCACAAGCGTAATTTTTGCAAATCAAAATGCAGTTAAACTAACCAAAGTTCAAAAGTAACCACGACAAATCTATCGTGAGCAGAACTATAAAATAGTTTCAATGACTACATTCCATTGTAGGAATTACTTCTCCGGCCATAGTTACCGTGACCCATGAAAAATTGTTGAGGACTTTTTGACTATAATTCGATGGTGATGGAATATAGTCAGAAGAATTATATTTTTCTCTCAGTGTGATCTGAACAAAATCTACCGGAAGCCTAAACAACTAATGGGTTAAGAATATGAATCAATTAATGCCACGATGAAGAACACTTTAAGTTCAAAACGCTGGTAAAAGCGGGAAAATTGACTTTCTCGGTTTTTTTTATTTTTTATTTATTTTTCGGTTATAATACCCCGAGAGCTTCAAAATGATCGGGTATTTCCCGATAACTTCGTTACATACGAACGAACATGTCAAGTTCGGCAGGTTAAAAAAATCCCCAGCGCTTGCGCGAGGGATTTTTCCTGCGAAACTTAACGCATTCGTTTGTATGCAGGGAAGTTTGAGGGGAACTCGACTGTAAATTTGCAATAATGACCATTAACGGTTGAGAAATGAGGAGTTTTTAATGATGAACGGAAACGGTTGAAATATTTTTGAAGTGATTTGAAAGTGATAGCTCTAGTCGTTTCGTAGACATTCTCGCTATAATCTTGACATCATTTTTCAAATCATGTGTTCTTGATGCCTGAATTATCTCGATAATGATTGAGTTTACAAAAAAATGTCAACGGATCATTGATTTAGAGATTTTCATAACTTGCAGAAAAGATTTTGACATTTCTCGCTCAATTCAATACTTTATCACATATTCGCACAATCTTGCATCCATATCAATTTTTTAATTGATCTTGTGCTCTTTACACTGAGACAAAAAATTACTTTTGCAAAGGAATCATTTTCTTGGGAGAAGAATTTATTTTTTGCAGAGCGTATTTCTCCAGGCCAGTCATTATCAAGGAGTCCAAGTCCATCTCTAAATATTACAATTATGTTCAATTATGGAATGATTATATTACATATGACCTTGAATGAACTCCATTGACAATTATTAACCTTTAAAATTATTTCAAATTATTATACGTTAGAAAACCTCGAATTTGAAAAAATTGAAAAATAATGAAGCGTGTTCCTTCAAGGTCATATGTAGCATAATTATCTCATTATTCAACATAATTGTAATATTTGGAGATGGACATGGACCACCTGGGAATGACTGGCCTAGAGAAATAAGCTCCTAAAAAAATAAATTCTTCTCCCAAGAAAATGATTCCTTGGCAAAAGTAATTTTTTTTCCCAGTGTATCTCTTCTCACTACACAAATGCTCATATTCATCCTAAAAACACTCTGTTCTTCATTATTGCACGGAGTATTGATGCAGCCCATCAAATATCTCTCGACTGAAGCATTCAAATGGATCAACACTCCCAACAATTCTGAAAATCCTCTGTAATCCAAAGAATAATGAGAGAAACAGCAGGAAAATATTTCGATTTCCTGTTCACCTGTGGTGATTCGCGCAATCAACAATGCATCGTTTACGATTTTTCTAACTCGTTTGTTAATTGCAATAGTTGAGGTAAAAATGTGAAAAACGATTTATTTAAGGAAAATAATGATCTCCAAAATGGTATTTTGACACGAGTGTAGAAAAGTGTTTTTTGAACCGTGGAAGATGTGTAATCCCTTCCAAGGGTCAAAGAACACTTTTCCCACGAGTGTCGAACCCCTTTTTTCGCTCCGGGTGTGCAAAATCTCACTTCAGTAGCGAAACAGTAAACAGGTTTAAATCGATTTGGACTATTGGCCAGTTTTTAATGAATATCTCGGAACCTAAGAGAGATAACATTTTTTTTGTAATAACCTTTTTTGTAGCTCTCAATTTTCCCTACAAAAAAGGTTATGGTGAAAATTTCGCTGGTTCGCTTAGATTCGGGGATATTTCCCGAAAACTTAGCGAAGGGCGAAGTCGACTTAAACCGGTGTACCGCTTCACTATTGACTTTACGCACAGGTGATGAAAAAAATATTTTCACATGTCTCATTCAACTCACTAGTTTCCGACATTTGTACAATTCTGCAGCCGCATCAATTTTTTTATTCATCTTGTGTTCTCTACCTCTTTTCACTACACAAATGCTCATATTCACCCTGAAAACACTCTGTTCTTCATTATTGCACAGAGTATTGATACAACCCATGAAATAACTCTCGACTGAACCATCCAAATGGATCAACGCTCCCAGCAATTTTGAAAATCCCGTATAATCCGAGAAATAAAAGAAAAGAATGGAAAAAATTTATACTTCCCGTTCGCCTCCGGTGATTCGTGCAATCAACAATGCATTGCTTTATGATCGGTGGGATGAATATGAAAAAAATAAAAACAACACGACAATTTATCGTTCGAACGCAGGAAAAGATACGAGGAATCGGGGACGGTGAGGTCCACACGTGTAAACAGGAAGACGAGCAACCGTAAATCGTTCCGACGCAGCTGTTGTTTCGAGGATGCATCGATTAACCGAATTCGAACGAGGAAACTGATAGGGACGGATTATATTGGATCATGAAGTTTTTTAGGAGTCGCGTCTTCGTCGTGTTACGTCACGCCAACAAGAACATGAGAACTAAATTCACTAAATTGCATCGATTTTTCAATTTATTAACTCGAAGCGTGAAGTTTAACGTCATATTTATCTTCTTCATTACATTTTTTCCAAAGTGATTTCGTAAGAAGTAATTTTCGTAATAAATTATGTATTAAATAAATTTACGAAATAGACAGGATAACGAACTGATGATTAATCGAAATTCAAAGTCTGAATTTTGATTTCATGTATCGAAAATGCGTCAAACATTAAGTAATACTAAAGAGAATTTAAATATTCCATACAGACATTTTTCCAAATATCTCTGAAATGCCTAGATTTAGAGAAAAATATCCGGGGACCTTTTTTGTAGCTCACAAAATTCCCTACAAAAAATGTCTTTTACTATTTTTCTGAAATCCTCTCCTAACCAGAGATATTTCGAAAATAATCTGAAAGAAGTTTTATTCATCCAATTCCGAAGCTTCAGGATAAAAATAGCCGTTTAAGGAACTTCGAAATAACCGTTGATGCACTATAACATTTCTCTTGCTCGACTCCATGACACCATTGCAAGTTACCTCTGCTCATAAAAATCCTTTCCGTACGAGCTCATGCGTCAGAGCTTACCTAACACGAGAGACTTCCGGCGAACAGTTCTTTTGTTTCCCTCCAAGATTTACTATCCGTGATTTTTTATTCTCCCATTCTTCATCTTTTCGGTTGTATTTTTTTCTTTTTCTCTCTCTCTCCACACGTGAATGAGCGCGCAAGTGGTGGGGGCACACGGAAGTGGTTCATGAATTGTGCGATTGGAGTTTCGCCAAGTATTTTTATTAGCGAGCTCCTTGTCCCTCACGTGGCTCTCACGCCCAGG